TTTGTGTTTACTGTTTTGAGAATACGAGGCATAGTTTCAAGAAGTGTGTTTAAGCAATCGAGAAAAACTGTAATCATGATCATGAAATTGAACATACATGAACACTCAATCCTCAGTTGCTTCACTCTATCTGTATTTCTCTCAAACGGAACATCTGTTTCATGGAGGTTTGGTGCCTTTTCAAGATGCGTGCAATGGTCTGCAAACTTATGGCTTCCACATTGCTGAAAATGTCTTCATTGTCCAGGATGTGCTGTCTGATTTCTCAAAGACGAATGGTTGACCACAGCCCGCTCTTGTTCATCATTTAGGAATCTGCCTCTTTCCCACTGTTTGGTTTAGTTTTTATTCTGTAGGAAAAATTAAAGGAGAAACTAGACCCCAAACTCTACAACACATTTACATGGTCACATACCTCTGTGCTGCACTCTGGCGTGTAGTACTGTATATAGTCATCTGACAGCTAAGAGTGGCCTACAGTACTATGTTGTTTATTGTAGTGCACGCTGAAGACTTACCGGTTCTCATTACGGAAGGTTCTGATGATTGAGGCCACAGTTGATCTTCTGAGATTTGGTTGAAACATTTGAGCTGTCTCAGTTATTGTCATACCCCGATGTATGACCATCTCATTCGATACTCTACGCTGTTGCTGCCGCTGTCTTGGTCTGTTACCTTGTCCTTGACCATGGATACCCACATCTCTGAAACCGGGCCTACGACCACCTCTCTGATGAGGCCCAAGTCCTCCTCTAACATGAGGCCCATGACCACCTCTCAGATGTGGTGCTTGTCCCCCCTCCCTCTTCCTACTTGACCACTTGCCTGATCCATGTTCTAGTACTTCAATGTCACTGTGGATTCCACTTATTTATACTCATACCACAAGGTGAAAGTGATCATCAGTAAGGAATTAGTGTCAATTGATCTCGTTATGGTGATACTTTTCTGATGTTAACCTAGGATATTGTTCCTTAGTTCTCACTGTGCTTTAAGTGGAATGTAACAGGTACTGTACTTATCATTTTAAAGTAGTTGTATCCTTTACTAGTTAAATCACTGTAATAAAATGAGCAGGCAGTCATCACATATGCAACGTATGAATTTTATTTTGAAATGGAAATACTTTGATGTTCAGTTGTGTTAATTTGAACTGATGATTTAAGTTCAACAAAAAAGTGATCTTTGTTTTAAATGTATTGTGTCCACGCAAATGAAAAATGTGTTAAGAGTTCTGGAAAATGTGCATTTCGGTCATCCGTTGTGTGTTTTGTGACGGGAGTTTTGGAAAATAACATTAATGTTCTGTAACTAGTGAAAAAGTGACTGGAAAAAACTAATCTAAATGTAGAACCTTGCAGTGTTGAAACTGGTGTCTTTGACATGAAGTATCAATTTGCTAAAGAAAAATGATCAGTCAGTGACAATGCAAAAGTGGGAACAGATTATCATTTACAGTTTTTCTCAGTTGCTTTGATGCATTTCTCACAACAGAAATGAAGTTTTCAATACTGCTCGTTCAATTCCCACAACCTCTAGTCAGTTGTGCACATCATAACAGCAATTTCTGGTTGTTTTCGCCATTTTACAATTGCTTTAGTACACTCAGGCAGATGCTTATGTGCAATTCTCAGCTATATCATACATCAGCGGTTGCTTATGTCATAATGCTCAAAATGCATTGTGCTAGCCCTCTTTTGCATAGTCTTACACTCCAGACAAACTTGCAGTTTTGTCATTGTGTAAGTCATTGCAGTCAAAAGTATTGAACAAGATATCATTGGCTATCAAGTGTATCTTATAGGTTTCTATAAAACTATTTTGGCATGTATTCACAATACTAATGATTTCTGCACCATTTTCATATACATGGATGAGGCTGGCTTCAACTTGGCCAAAGGAAGGAGATAATCTGATTGAACAGAGAGCTGCTATTGACATGCCAAGCCAGCAGGGTGGGAACATCACTATGTGTGCGGCTATTTCGGACAATGGGGTCCACACTCGCATCCCTCTTGTGGGGCCATACAACACCTGAAGAGGAGATTGGTCAAGAAAATTTACCAAAGTATGTGATCATTTGTGATAATGTGAGTTTCCATCACTCCAATCCAATTAGGCAATTATTTGCCAACCACCCCAGGATGCCGATGGAATTCCTACCACCATATTCCCCATTTCTCAACCCAACTGAAGAGTTCTTCTGAGCTTGGAGGTGGAAGCTATATGACCGTAGCCCACATACACAAATGACACTGCTTGCTGCCATGGAAGCTTCATGTGGGGATATAACAGCAGACGCCTTTAGAGGCTGGATAAGACATTCTAGGAGGTTCTTTCCACGCTGCATTGCAAAGGAAGATATCTGTTGTGATGTGGATGAGAACATGTGGTCCAATATACAGGATCACCTGCAACTGTAGAAAGCATTTAGAGTTTCCGTCTGTATATATTGTTCCCCTTTTTGATTTTGTAATTGTTTTTTGTTTCATTTCATATGTTATGCATAAGGCATTGAAATGCATTTTTTGCTAGACTGCAATCGCAGTGCATGGTATGTCACCATATACCAGTGCAATCAATAAAATATTCTTCTTGAATCAATCTCCCGCAATCAGTGTTTTTTATTTTTATGTTTCCTGCCCTTGTCATTCAGATGTTTTGTGTCAGAAATGTTTACATTGTGCCAATTTTATATTGATAACATGACTTTATATTTTGGCTCACATGTCCATGGACGATGATTCATGGATTCGGGATTTTGATGGCACTGACATATTCAATGATATAAATACTTGCTTTTGAGGCATGGACTAAGTATTTTGAAGAGGATACCTGCTTTTGCTGGTCATCCATGATATTTTGCCATTTGCACTAAGTGTTTTGAGAAATGCATTCACTGTTATGCAAATGTTATGTCTGTTGTGAGAAATACACCAAAGCAACTGAGAAAAACTGTAGAATTGTGGAGCTCTGAGCATACTGACACTGACATACTGACAATATATCTAAACATTTTGATGCTGAAGGCTAAAATGATGCTGATTGTACTGTATTTCACCTGGCTGATAATACTTGTTTTATATATATGAAATCAACACCCCCCAGATTTGAGAATTCAACAGTGCCATGGCATAAATAGACATAAGTCATCTGGGAAACACAAATCTATCAAATGCTATCAAATCAAACAAGATATCATACAACATAGTGAAAACTGTCACCTACGAGAAAATCCACACTGCCTCATCATCTTCTTTTTCGAGACTGCTTTCATAGCCTGAGAAATGGAAAAATAGAAGATATGTGGTGAAGACATTTGTAGAGGAACAATGAAAAAGCCTTAGTTGAGACTAACTACACTGCAGTTATTCAGTAATGAACATCAATGATGGGAGAAGACAGATAATCTTACTAAATAATCTAAATAGTCTGGTCAAGTCAAGTTAGCTATCAAGTATTACAATAGATAGAATTAATGTGATAAATTTTCACAAGAATAGTCTGGTTGTGCATATTAAAGTAGGATCTGTATCTGCCATAGCACCTGGTCAGTTACAGTATATGCCATCCAAGGCATAGCAATTAGGTGTCCATCCATCCATCCATCAACCGCTTATCTTGGTCAGGCCCATGGAGGGGCCAGGACCCTATCCTAAGCAATATAGTTCACAAATTATGAGGTAAGAGACATTCATCAAGTAATGAGTATAACTTTGTTGCTTATAGCAAGAAAACTCAACATTACCAAGCCCTAGCATAGCTGATGTCACAGAGCCAACAACAAAACTCACGTAATAATTGTCGTCATCTTGATTGTATGCCAGTTTTACCACCCCATAGGATCCCTGGGAAAAAGCAAAAGGCATCCAAATGGAAAACATGAAGATATATAGTAAAGCCTGTACTGTATCTTCTTTGACCTTCCAATTAAATAATAATTTTACAATCTGGACATCTCACCTTTCCAATTTCACTCTTCAGCTTGTATTGGTTTAGCTGGACACAGTCCTGGGGAAGATGAGAGATCTGTGATTGCAAGGCTACTATGATTTATTATAGTTTTTCTGAATTGCTGAAACACTGAAATTCATTCTTGGAGCAAAACCGCCAATTGCCAAAACTCATTTATTGAATTAGTCACTCGCGAAACTTTAAACAGTGCTCACCTAGTTAGACACATTTCATGCATTGATGTGGTGAACACAGACCGCAAAAGTTAAGCACATCCATCACACAATAGTCATCATAAACACAATGACTGAAAACTGTTGAAACATGTTTCTAAACATGAGAAGAAGCCAAAGAGTGACCAGAACACAGGATACATGCTGGATGAGAGTGCAACTGCCATAGGTGGGTTCAATCCCAACGGGTCACATAGAGGGTTCTTGCTGCATCGCCCAGCAAGGGAGAGCATTCCCTGTGATGTTCACAAAGTTCTCTGTCCTGACCCAGCCCTGAGACATGGTGATGAGACAGAATGAATATTCTTCCTTGACTCTGGCTTGGCAGTTGAACAACATCATTGTCACGATCCGCCCCGTTCGATCCCGATGTTTGCCACGCCCACCTCGTTACCTCGTGTGATTCCCTGATTGTTCTCACCTGTGGCTCGTTACCAGTAGCTTGTCTTTTGTATTTAGTCCTTGTCTCAGTCAGTCTACCCAGATCTGTCATTGTATTGTCCGTTGATGTCCACGCCTGTCTCTCCTGTCACCATTAAATCTCCTGATTACCCGTCAGTCTGGCTTGCTCTCCTGCCCCCCCGCTTGCCGACATACCCGAACGTGACAATTATACTTTACAGTTTTTCTTGATTGCTAAAACACTAAACCCTATTGTCTGAACCAAATTCTCAGTTGCCTGAACCCACTTATTGAATCAGTCACTCTTTTGGCAAAACCATAAGCATATTTCACCTGTTTAGACACATCTTGTCAACACATTGTCATTGTGATGCACCTGTGTTGCATAATGGTGAGCACAGGTGGCAAAAGTCAAACACAATTAAAGCTCAGATGTCACCGGTTGAACACAACAACTCAAAATTTATCACACTTGTGGCTAATGATGTGAGGGTACATACAGTATAAGCCAGAGCACTGGTTTGTGAGGCACTACAATGGATAGAAATCTAAGATGAGGAGTTCGTGTGAGAGGAGGTCGAGCAGGTCAAGGTGGTCGAGGTGGTCAGCGAGGACAAAGAACAGTAATATCTGATGAAATCAGAGCTACTGTGATTGACCATGTTCTTGTCCATGGTATGACAATGAAGGAGGCCGGACTAAGGGTACAACCAAACATCAGTAGATTCACTGTGTCCACCATAATCCGAAGATTTAGAGAAGAGAACAGGTAGTTACCTTTTTTGACATTATAGTATGTAAATGTTGACAACAATTACATAGGTACAATGACTGTACTATATACTGTACCACAGTAAACATGTTTCAGTACATCACTGTGCCAGTGTACTGTAGTATTGTAATGGAGGGTTAGTCTGACTGTTTGTAGGCCTATTCCATGTATGTATTTTTGTAAGTGCATGTTCTCTTTTTGTAGAATTGAAAGACTGCCACATGGGGGTGGTAGGACAGGGTAAATCTCCTGCAAGCCATAGAACTGGCCTGTGGTGACATGGGTGTGGAGGCATGTCAAGCCTGGATACGGCATGACAGGGGTTTTTTCCCCCGTTGCCTGGCCAGAGAAAATGTGGCCTGTGATGTAAATGAAGTCCTGTGGCCTGACCCAGTACGGAGAAATGATGCTGTGGCGGAGTAATGCACTTCTTTTCTTTGTACTTCATTTGTATATTTTTGTGCTTTATTTTTACGTACAAATGCTACATGTAAATGCACAGGATTTCTGTTTTTTTGCAAATTCTTTTTTCTATGTACAAGTGTTAAAAATGCCCAGGTATTTTGTTTTGCAACATGCATTTAGCCTAAATAAACATTTATTTCTACCGCTTCATGTCCTGAGCATTGTGTTTTCCTTTTTTCTATGTAGTGTTTAGTGACTACTCAGTAGAGTATATAATTTAGATTGACTTGAGGCATGATTTGACAGCATAGTTCAGTTTTGAGCACAGATTGAACTGTTATGGGGTGAAAGTTTGGTTTTGCAAGAAGAGTCAGAGGTTTTGTGAATGTAGCTTGAAAATTGGGTTTCGTGTTCACAGTTTAGGGAAAAGGAGAGCAGCTTTCCAGGAATGTGTCTTAGCAATCGAGAAAAACTGTAATATGCCTCTCATATGGATTTTTTACTGTGTCCTTTATAGTAACTTTTTTGGAGTAGTGAATATTGCAGGCATTTCCAGTTTTACAGCTCAACATGCAGAAGACCACATCCACAGTAAACATTTCTCTACAGTAAACTTGATGCATGATATGAAAGTAGTGTTTACTTTTGAGCAAAGATAATATAATTTTGGGAAGATTGTTTGATTTTACAAGATGAGTCAAAGGATTTGTGAGTGTAGTTTGAATTTTAGGGTTTGTGCTTAGTGTGTTGAGAAAAGGGGAGGGGATTTTAGGAAATGTGTTTTAGCAATTCAGAAAAACTGTAAAACACTCAAGAAGACAAGGGTCAATAAATGTAAGTGAACTCTCTATGAATGACCAGACTTCATTTTAAGTCATCAGTGGAGGATATAATATTTAAATAAAAAGAAAATTCGAGGGAACTGGCTAATGACAAATACTGTACGTCTTAGCAGAAGAATCCAGATTAAGAAATAGAGGGTAGCATAAAAATAAAATATTTTGACATCAACATCAGTAAAATTACTATTTATTATACCCACCCATTTTGCATAACTGCTTATACGGCACAGTTCATTGACTATTATAATATATTTAAAAGTTGTATTACTTAAATAACAGTAAATGGCAAATTATAAAATAAGTTCTTTTTCACCTTTATGTGTGACCATTTGTTAGGACAAGTTCAGAATCATTTTACTTTAAATACTACAAGAGGGAGTAGCACTGTGGTATAGTGGTTTGCACTGTTTTCTCACACCACTAGGAGCAGGGTTCAAGTCTCTGTTGTTTCCCCTGAGGACTCTGGTTTCCCCCCACAGTCCAAAAATATGTTAAAGTGAATTGGAGTTACTAAATTGTGAATAGTGTGATAGGTGAGCACCTATTCTGGGCTATGCTCTGCCTTTTACCCATTGACTATTTATCCCCTGCAACCATGAACAGGACAAGCAATTACAGAAGGACAGACACTATCGGATATACAGTACCATTAGGAGAGTAATAATTTCCTATGCAGTTTCCAGCAAATATGTCCTGGCAGACTCACGCTTTCATAAAACAGTATCATGCTATTATATGTGTCTGTCTTTTGCTATGGGGGCAGAGTGGTGACTCTGAGGCTAGGGATTTGTGTTTGCAATCGGAAGGTTGCTGGATCAAATCCTGTGAATGACAGGAGTGTTTCTACTCCATTGGGCCTTTGAGCAAGGCCCTTAACCTGCAGTTGTTACATCCTGGGTATGATGTTAATCTACATCCAGGCCTGCAAGAAGGTCCTCCAACTTACAGGGAAAAACTTGGGGGTTGGTGGCAGGACTGGCACTCCAGCCAGCGGAAAAAAAACTTCACACTCTTCCTTCCATTTGAGCTAGTGTGGTGCTGAGGCATCACCCGCTCCATGCCTGCACTCAGGGTTCTCATCCCTGAGGTGGTTTGTTGTGTGGTGGGTGCAACAACGTGCTGTATCAATGCATACTCCTTACCTTTCTATGTCTTGCTACAGAATTTACAAGAAAAATGTTAATTTGCTAAGGTGTCTGACAGGTGATTATGTCAGACATCCTGATTTTCCCAAGTTCAACGCATCACCGGATCAAAAAGGGAGGGGCTTGAATTTAATTTTTTTAACCAATCAGCATCTTCATTGTATGACATCACCACTTTGGTCTAATTTTTTCTCTTTATCAAACTCAAGGCTTCCAGTAATTGAACCATGGCCAGTGTGTGGCTCAGCAGGCTCCCATATTGACTTAAAACAAAGGTACATTGCGTGACACAGAGCACTCCTGACCTGGCCATCTGAAAGGGACACTCGCTTGGACTCTATGGTTGGCCTGCGAGGGAATCGTTGGTACGTCCCTTGCTCCTGAAGAGACATCTTCCTTCTGCCAGTGTACTGCGGTTGAGGTGGTCTCCAAGCCAGGTCCACCACCCCACAGGACATGTTGTCACTGGCGTCCGGCTCTTTGGCAGGAAACATACTGATGGCTGCCACCATTCTGGCGAGGCCCAGGCGGTCAGAGTCCACCTCCTCCTTGGAGCTGCTGTCTTCGCTCATGGCATTCACAGCTTCAGTATCATGTGTTCTGGGACAGAGAAGAGGCCCATCATATTGCTGCTGGAACCAGAGCGACATCTGCAGGCTGAAATGCAAGAAATAGAAGAACTGTGGACCAAACAGTTACATAGACAGGTAAAAGGGTGTATGGGCCATGTGTGACTCTGGTGCTTTAGTGCTGGTTAGATTTAGTGCTGGTTAGGACTGCCTGAGATCAGAAGGGCATTGGTTCAAATCCCTTAGTTGGCAGAGTGATTAACCTGTTGACCCTTGAGCAAGACCCTTAATCAAAATATCTCCAGGAGCTGCCTAACCCTGCTTTCTCAACTGTAAATCACTTTGGATATAAACATCTACTAAAAAATAAAGGATGACAATCCTATATAAATTATAAAATGTAATAATAATTATTATTATTATGAAATTATATATAATTATATAAATTATTAAATGTAATCATTTCAAAACCCATTAGCTTTCATAACAGGCAAGCTGAGATCAGGAATACTGAGTAGTAACAATCATTAACTGCAGGTCAGCTTCATGTTTCTGGTTTATTGCTTTAGTGGTCAACACAACACTACCCACACAGTTTTGTTGTCACAGTGACCAAACGTACATTCATTCACCTTTATGGTGAAAACCAGCAGTGTAGAGTCTTGGAGATTATTTATTAGTTAATTACTAAATATTTTACATATCTTATTTATGTTATAGTATGCATCTATGAAAAGCTTGTTCTTTATATTTTTATGTTTATTGGATGACAAAAGGGAACAACACAGCTAATTCAATTGTCCTTAAAAAGGTTTTAGAAATGGTATTGTCACGATCCGCTCCGTTCGATCCCGATGTGTGCCACGCCCACCTCGTTACCTCATGTGATTCCCTGATTGTTCTCACCTGTGCTTCGTTACCCTTGGCCTGTCTCCTGTATTTAGTCTGTGTCTAAGTCAGTAGTCCCCAGTTCCGTCATTGCATTGTCAGTGCAGTGTTGCTGTGTTTAGTCGGCTTCAGTCCTGTGTGCTCAATAAAACCCGTTTGCCCGTCTCACCGGCTGGACTCTCCTGCTTCACTGCTCGCCCGCCAGCAACTGTGACAGGTATAAATGCTAGAAGAAAAATGTAGACTTACTAACTTTCACGACAATGTACCTTAAATAGCCAGTTGAATTAGAAACTACAAAAATTCATTTTCTGTCATAGATCGCGGAACACGAACCAGGGAAGCATGGAAAAGGGAGGCAGGAACGGGGTTAAATAAAAGGATTTAATTGGAGAATAAAGGGGCATAACAGGGAAAACACGGCACTAGACTCCATGACAACGCACGACACACTGAGCGGGAGCTGGAGGACCCGAAGGCGACCGCCGAGCCGCAGCCAGGGGAACAGAAGGCAAGCCAGGGGGCAGGGCGGGCGGGACCCGACCCCGGCACAGGTGTCCCCTCCCCTTTCGGGAGACTGACAGGCAGGGACCTGGCCGGGACATGGCACGCTGGGGCAAGGGTGGAGGAGTCACAGGGGAGGTCACGGGGAAAGTCACAGGAAGTGTAATGGGGGAGGTCAGGAAGATCCCTGAGGGATCCCACTCCAGCTCCTCTTCTGTCTCCACTATGGAGGGAGGAGCATCGGCCTGGCAGACCGGGGCCTCGGGAGGCACAACAGCAGGGGCCTCGGGAGGCGTGGCAGCCACCGCCTCCGGGCCAGCAGGGGGCGCCGCAGCAACCGCCGACTCTGGACCAGCAGGGGACAGTATGGGGCCCTCTGGGACCGCTGGGGGCTGAGCAGCACTATATGCTGAACCCAACACAGGAGGATCAGCACGATTGGGGTGTGACATTTTCTTTTCAATGGATTTGAGCTCAATTTTCGATTTGCCATTTCCAACAGATTTAATGCATATACATTTTGTGGACAAAAATATAGGGATACCTGGCCATTACACCTACAGCAACTTTTATGACATCCCATTCTAAATCCATAGCCATCCACATGGAGTCAGTCCTCCTTTTGCAGCTATAACAGCTGCCACTCTTCTGGGAAGGCTTTCTACAAGACTTTGGAGTGTGTTTGTGGGAATTTTTGCCCATTCATCCAGAAGAGCATTTGTGAGGTCAGACACTGATGCGGGACATGAAGGCCTGCCTTGCAATTTCCATTCTAGTTCATCCCAAAGGTGTTTGATGGGGTTGAGGTCAGGGCTCTTCCACACCAAACTCACCTAACTATGTCTTTATGGACTCTGCTTTGTGCACTGGGGCACAGTCATGCTGGAACAGAGAAGGGCCTTCCCCAAACTATTCCCTGTTGGAAGCATAGAATTGTCTAAAATATCTTGGTATGCTGAAGCATTACAGTCTTTCTCAGTTGCTTTGATGCATTTCTCACGACATTCAATTCTTACAACCTCTAGTCAGTTGTGCACATCATAACAGCAATTTCTGGGTGTTTTCGGCATTTTGCAATTGCTTTAGTACACTCAGGCAGATGCTTATGTGCAATTCTCAGCTATATCATGCATCAGCGGTTGCTTTTGTCATGATTCTCAAAATGCATTGTACTAGCCCTCTTTTGCATAGTCTCCAGACAGACTTGTCATTTTCTCATTGTGTAAGTCATTGCAGTCATAAGTATTGCACAAGATATAATTTTTTGGTATGTATTCACAATACTAATGATTCCTGCACCATTTTCATATACATGGATGAGGCTGGCTTCAACTTGGCCAAAGGACAGAGATAATCTGATTGAACAGTGAGCTACTGTTGACGTGCCAATGTGTGCGGCTATTTCGGACAATGAGGTCCACACTCGCATCCCTCTTGTGGGGCCATACAACACCCAACATCTGCTTATCTTCTTGAACACCCTCTACAGGGATCTCATTCCTGAAGAAGAGATTGGTCAAGAAAATGTACCAAAGTATATGATCATTTGTGATAATGTGAGTTTCCATCATTCCAACTCAATGGTTTGCCAACCACCCCAGGATGCTGATGGAATTCCTGCCACCATATCCCCCATTCCTCAGCCCAACTGAGGAGTTCTTCTGAGCTTGGAGGTGGAAGCTACATAACCATAACCCACATACACAAATGATACTGCTTGCTGCCATGGAAGCTGCGAGTGGGGATATAACAGCAGATGCCTGCAGAGGCTGTATAAGACATTCTAGGAGGTTCTTTCCCCGCTGCATTGCAAAGGAAGATATGTGTTGTTATGTGGATGAGAACATGTGGCCCAATATACAGGATCGGCTGCAATTGTAGAAAGCATTTGGAGTTTCAGTATGTATATATTGTTTCCCTTTTTGATTTTTAATTGTTTTTTTTCCGTCACATATGTTATGCATAAACTGAAAAGCATTTTTGCTAGACTGCAGTTGCAGTGCCTGGTATGTCACCATATACCTGTACAATCAATAAAATATTCTTCTTGAATCAATCTCCCACAATCAGTGTTTTATTTTTATGTTTCTTGCCCTTGTCATTTAGATGTTTTGTGCATCAGAAAATGTTTAGATTGTGCCAATTTTATATTGATAACATGACTTTACATTTTGGCTGTCATGTCCGTGGACAATGATTCATGGATTTGGGATTTTGATGGCATTGACATGTTCAATGACATAAGTACTTGCTTTTGAGGCATGGATTTTGAAGAGGTTACCTCCTTTTGCTGGTCATCCATTATGTTTTGCCATTTACACTAAGCGTTCTGAGAAATGCACTCGCTGTTATGCAAATGTTAAATCTGTTGTGAGAAATGCACCAAAGTAACTGAGAAAAACTGTAAGAGTTCCCTTCACTGGAACTAAGGGTCCTAGCTGTCATGTCAATAAGCGCCCAGAACGCATACAAACCCACCAGAAGCCAGACTTCGGGGAACACGGGGTTTATTCGGACGAAAAGGCAGACAATAAATCATAGACAATATAATGACCGGACTGGGGAAACAAACGGAAATGCAGACTAAATACACAAGACAGGCTGAACATAACAGGCAACAAGTGATTACAATCGGGAAGTAACACGAGGTAATGAGGGGGGGCGTGGCACACACGAGGATCAGACGAGCCGGGCGTGACACTAGCCCAACCCCTGAAAAACAACCCCATACTATTATCCCTCCTCGACTTTTACTGTTGACACAATGCAGTCAGGCAGGTAACGTTCTCCTGCTATCCACCAAATCCAGACTCGTCCATCAGTCTGCCAGACAGAGATTTGTGATTCTGCACTCCACAGAACACATTTCCACTGCTCCAGGGTCCAGTGGCGTCGTGCTTTATATCACTCCATCTGATGCTTGGCATTGTGCTTGGTGATATGAGACATGCATGCAGCTGCTAAGCCATGGAAGCCCATTGCATGAAGTTCCCAGTACAGAGTTTTCTGTGCTGGGGTTAATGCTAGGGGAAGGTTATATCTCTGCAGTTATTGAGTCAACAGAGTGTTGGGACTTTTATGCGCCTCAACACGCAGCAACTCACTCTGTTACTGTTACTTTATGAGTTTCTGTTGTTCCTAAACGCTTCCACTTTGCAGTAATACCACTTGCAGTTGACCGTGGAAAATCTACCAGTGAAAACATTTCACAATCTGACCTACTGCAAGGGTGGCATCCTATGATAGTATCACACTTGAATTCACTGAGCTCTTCAGAACAACCTATTCTTTCACAAATGTAAACCTGACTGCATGGTTAGGTGCTTGATTTTATACACCTGTGGCAATGGGTCTGAATGAAGCACCTGTATTCAGTGATTGAGAGATGTGTCCCAGTTGCCTTTGTCCATGTAGTGTAACACAGTATGTGCATTCTGGAGCATTTATCACAAACAATCACAAGTCATCCTAACCAGATCTAAGTTTTAAAATGAGTACAGATCATTTCATTGTGGCTGTCCATCAAAACAATTTACTTTAAATGCTAAATTCTAAGTGAGTACTGTTGCATATTTTAACTTGAATAGTTACAAGCATTCAGTCTAAGCCAGAGTCAAAAAAAATTCAAGGTAGGCTATTTTCTTGCGGTCAGAACTGACAACTTTGTATTCTTCAGACAGCCCTGTCGTTTTGATCTTTCTATCTAATCTGTACTTGTCCCTCACTCACCAAGTAGTACAATTTCTACAAGTACTGGATGGACCACCAGGAAATGCCAAAGTTAGTAAATTTGTTTTTACCTGAATGTTGTGAGTTTCAGTTGTGATATCTAGGTCTGTTAAGTATACTTATTCATTTAGGAAACTATTCTTCCATCCATTGCTTAAGTCAAAATAGTATCATAAGAAATTTGAGTTATGTCTATTCTCCTCTCATAGGTATGAACACGCCCACCACGCTTAACCCGAAAAAGAAGGTGCGGCCGTGTAATAAGTATGATTAATTCATCAAGCAAGAAAAGGGGGTCATGCCCTCAATGCTTTCGGCAACAAACAAACCATGGAACATGGACTATTTAATTTACATTGTGAACCTGTGTTTAAGATCGAATCCCCTCTTCACTAAGAACAATTCTGTTCTGAAAGTTAAGAATGCATTGCTGATTAAATAATACTCCGATCAACTGCAAACAAGCTTATACGTTACAGCGTAGGCCACAATGTATTATTCCAAACCAATTGTTAGTTACTGCCACTAAAAACTAGCTACACCATTAAGTGTAGAATGCTTACCAAGTAGGTGAGTATCCCAATCAGGTAGTTCTGTTGGGGACCCTTGGCTTAGTGTATGTAGTGTATGTATGAAATGTGTATATTTGTATGAAAATATGGGACAAATCTTGTCCTGTATTAGTTCAAAACAGAGTGTTTTACAATCCATCAAAAACATGTGATGCATTCAGTGTCGGTCAGCTGAATATTTTGGCTGTCTGTCCCACTCTCGCAGGAGTGTAAGTAAGTGCACAGCCGCTTAGAATTGTGACATAACTTCTGATGAACCTGTTTTTTACTAACTTTGAAACAATAATTTTATAAGTGAATGAGCCTAATTGATTCACCTACTAGCTGTGTTGACAAGGCAGATGTCACTTAAATCTAATCGTAATATATTCATCCATCCATTTCCTGTAACCACTTTCCTGTCCTATTCAGGGTTGGTGGGGGGGTCTGAAGTAGAGACCTGCACTCCCGCGGGAGTACCGCGGGACCCGCGGGAACCAACGCACCGAGTGCGGCGCGGGACAAGATTTGATGGGTGAATGCGGGTGCGGGCGGTAAGGTCCTCATGTATGTGCGGGTTGCGGGTGAATAGAATTAATCGCGGGACTCCCGCAAAATGGAATTATCTTAAAATTAATTTATTAAAAACAAATACTCTATTATTTATCTACTGCACAAAAGCAACAAGAACGACTAAATTAAAATAACAATTTACAGGCGAATCGTCTACAGAAACTACAATTGCCGCGCTCTGAGTGCCGGGGGACGTAACCGGACACCCCAAGAAGGAATCAGCCTGGTGCTTGGACGGGATGGCATGTTCTGAAAAGCTCCTCGTTCGTGTCCATGTTCATCATTCCATTTAATTAAACTCAAATAAAACGAAACATATTTGTTTATTTTCCGTTTCTTTTTATATATACTCAAAAGCGAAGCAAGTGAAACAAACAACAGAGTAACGGGAAGAAGCGGTAAAAATAAAACTACTTATATGTTTACCTGCGGGATCTTGCGGGCGGGAGCAGGACAAAACTTCAATACTGCGGGCGGGAGCGGGAGAAAATAATATATATTTTTTGCGGGAGCGGGCAGGAGCGGGACTGAGAAATCCGTCCCGCGCAGGTCTCTATAGTCTGAAGTCCATGGGTATAAGGCAGAGAACAACCTAGGATGGGGTGCCAACCCACTGCAGGGCACACTCACATACCATTCACCCACATATGCACACTTATAATTTGGCAACTCCAATTAACCTCAGCATGTTTTTGGACTATGGGGTAAACGAGAGAGCCTGGAGGAAGCCCCACGACGACAACAGAGAGAACATGCCCCAGAGGTGTGAGGCAACAGTGCAAACCACTGCACCACCATGCCACCCCAAATATATTTATATAGGCTATAGCAATATATTTAACTTTTTGAAAATTTTATTACAAATTTAGAAGTAAATGTGACAATCTAAAATGAACATGAATAATTATATAATTTTATTACTAGAATATATTTAAGAGATACTGTGGTTACACCCACTGAGTGGCAGTGTGGACTTCAGCAGCCCCCTAATCCCACTACATTCAAAATTGTAGTTTGTTTTGCTGTTTCCCCTCCCTTTTGCCGTCTGCCTCTAGGGGGTTGGATCCTCCAGCAAGCCAGGGATGGGTCCCTGAGCTGGTCTTGTATGGTGGCCCCCCGCTGGATACTTTCTTGTCTACTGATCTCTCCTGCCCCAGACTGGACCAACTTGCATGACCTCCCTCTCTTAATGCATCACATCAGAACAGTGTTCTCTCTCGCACTCATACAGACTCATAGGGGTAGCGGTTGTGTTAGTGTGGTTTGCCTGGGGCGGGTTTGTCATGAATGGGGTGCTGTCCTGGGGGATGCCATCCCTCTGCTCTGCTCACGGTGCCCGGCAGACCCGACCTGCTTAAGTCGACCAACAGACAGCTATTCACCCAGCCATGAGGAACACAGCTACTCACCTGGCCATAAGGAACACAGCTACTCATCCAGCCATGAGGAACATGACAAACCAGCACAGAGCATGCAGAATATCATGCACAAGATGGAAAACTATGCATCAACCTGGTGAGTGACAGTCTTTGCTTTTGCTCACCTTGCAAGCCTCCGTTTCTTGGTTGGGGTACTTGATTGGCACGCACTGGCCATAAAATACTGGTTTTATTAAAATATTATTTGTTAATATTAGTGAATATATATTAGCTACAACATACTTCAGGTCTAATTAAACTAAAGATAATGTCAAAAGCAGGTTTTAGCTTTTTAAATATAAACAAACAGTCAGCATCCAAAAGCCCGATAACATCTCAGGTACCTTAACATATCTGCAAACATTTAGTATAAAAGTGCTGTAATAAAATGAAATTGAAGTAGGTCATATTATACTTTGAGGTCACCCCGTCACACCATTTTCCACTCTATCACAATAGATTTTAGTCTTAAATTTACATATAAAATGTTTGTTAAATATTTATTCAAAAATACACAGATACACTCGAACTTAATCCTTTCAGAACTCAGGTTCGAATCCTAAAAAGTTTGAGTTCTGATCAAATTTCCCCCATAGGAAATAATGGAAAACCAATTAATTGGTTCCCGGTGTCACGCTGTGCGAGCGGCGAGCAGGCAAAGGAGGCGAGAGCAGTCAGGCTGACGGAAAACGGGGTTTATTACAGGCAAAATGACAGGACTGGTACTCACACTTGGGATTAGACGATGACAGATCTGGGGGAAACTAACCGAGACGTGGACTAAATACACGAAACAAGGCAAAAGGAATAGGCAACAGGTGATGACAATCAGGAGTTGACATGAGGTAATGAGGGGGCGTGGCACACACGAGGATCGTTCGGAGCTGAACGTGACACCTGGCCCCAAAAAAATTACACCTAAATATGTTTTTTTTTAGCATTTAAACACAAAATGAACAGGATAAAACAAGAAGAGCATATACTGTACTAAACACATCTAAGCACATTTATCAAAACGGTAATTTGTAAAGTAAGAAAATAAATGTATCCAAACAATGTGTAAAGTTTAAAAAAAAAAAACAATGTGTCCTGCCCGATCGTCCGCTCCTTCCGTGTGCCATGCCCCCTCGTTAACCTCATGTGAAATCCCAGTGTGATCAGCTGTTTCTGGTTGTTTTCATTAGTCCTCTGTATTTCGTCCGCGTTTCAGTTTGTTTCCCCAGTCCGGTCATTGTATTGTCAGTCTGCGTTTTGCCTGCCTTACCTGTAATTAAACCCCGTATTCCCCGATACCCTGACGTCTGCACCTTTGTCTCCGTTCCGTTCCCGCTGGGCATAACAATATTATTATAATTAAATGTATTAATGGTTTATTATTAATGATATTAAAATAATTAATAAGAAATCTTTATTTTAAATGTATTTTATTGGTCAAGAACTACAGGAAACGTTTGACCTCTGTAATTGCAAACAAAGGCTTCTGTACCAAATATTAACACTGATTTTCTCAGGTGTTCAAATACTTATGTGCAGCAGTGCAATACAAATACATTCTTTAAAAATCATACAATGTGATTTCCTGAATTTTTTTTTCCAATGCTGTCTCTCACAGTGGGAATGCACCTACAATGTGAATTTCAGACCCCTCCATGATTTCTAAGTGGGAGAACTTGCAAAATCGCAGGGTGTTCAAATACTTATGTTCCTCACTGTACCTTAAAGCCAACATTTGAGAGGAAAAAGAAAAGAATACACAAATTTAATAAATCTTTTGAAAATTAAGGACAATTTATCTACAGAAAAGATAAAAGTACCTCTATTAATCGTCCAACCTGCTTAGCCTACTGGGTCGTGGGGGGTCCGGAGCCTATCCCAGAAGCAAAGGGCATGAGGCAGGGAACAACCCAGGATGGGGGGCCAGCCCATTGCAGGGCACACTCACACACCATTCACACCTATGAGCAATTTAATAAATCCAATTAGCCTCAGCATGTCTTTGGACTGTGGGGGAAAACTGGAGTACCCAGAAGAAACCCCATGATGACATGGGGAGAACATACAAACTCCACACATATGTAACCCAGGCAGAGACTTGAGCCCAGGTTCCAGAGGTGTGAGGTAACAGTGCTTACCACTGCACCACCATGCCGCCCCCAATAAAAGTACCTAACATATTCAATTAATTATTACTCAAATATATGACATATTGCCCATGACAAAGTGGAAAAAGTGGTTCTTACGTTTTGTTATTGTTATCTGTGTTGACAGATGCATTGGTATTGGCAACCATTCATAATTATGTTTGTGTTTAAAAAAAATCCCACCTGTAACAATATTGCACAGATGGTTTGTATCAAACCGTGAATTTTGTGTAAGGTTAAACCTCTATAGCATTTCAAACCAGTTTTAAAAAATTCCATAGACTTGATTGCTTATTTGTTTGCAAGGAATGAATATGCTGGGTCCTTTATGAATTGGGGTATATTCTACACTCATGGCTCAATCAGACCTCTGGAGAAAAGGCAGATACCAATAAAGACAATAGCAAGAAAAATAAAGTCATTTCAAGTCATAACCTCTGCAAAAACATTATCATCTAGATTGGATATGAATACTCCAAGATGACAGAATCCATATTCACAGGCATAAGAGGTCCAAATGTGTCCCTACACTGTAAAAAGTCATTCTGTGGGATTGTAGATTAAATTAAATTTAATGAGTAAACTACATGTTACAAAATTAATTTCTTGGTTTTTTTTAGTAATTTTTGCATTAAATTTATTTTAAAAATACAGGAATAGAGTTTACTCAATTTTGTTGCTTATGTTTTACCTATTCTCTTTGAATAGCGCCAAACAGAGAGAATATTGAATTAATCCAATGTAACTCAAATGAGCTGTTTTTAAATTAAAGCATTTCCTGTTACAGGGCACGCTTTTTTATAACTCGCCAGTACGAGCCACGCGTGCGTTGGAAATTCACCACTGCTGCTGCTAATTCCTATCTGATTTCGCCATTTTTCAGTTTGCTTTGATTTATCTTAAATATTACATTAAAGAACATATTTTAACGTCAAACGGATAGCTGCGCCTCTGCAGGTGAATCGTTTATGTCTACGAGCCCTGCACTGGGATTTCCCGCTGACGGCCTGGAGGCAAAGCTGCTCTGCGCCCTTTTTTCAGTTAATTCTTTGACAAAGGTAAGGCAAAATATCAAATTTATATATGAGAAAAGTCTGTTTAAAATCTGTATATATAGAGTATGTGTGATGTGTCGCATTAGCAGACTTTATATTTTAACGCATATTTTACACCGATTAATTAAGGGAATAACATTCAAACTAGCTTTGCAGATGTACAATGGCTATNGGCGTGGGACTAGAGCAAAAAGGGGAACTTAATAAGTAAGTTCTGCCACTGTATTAACCTACTTTATGGAAACAATCATTGAGAAGTAATCTGCAATCAGCCTGAAGGCACAAATACCCCATTCACGGTTCACAGCTTAGAGTTGGGTAGTCAATCATTTCGACAGGTGGTATTTCAAGCCTTCCTGGACCAAAGGTCACTGAACCTGGGTCTCTGCAAACCTATTCAATGCCCCTGATTTCGGAAAACATGCCCCCCCTCCGCCCTTGCTCTCACAAATCAGTTTAAGGAATTCTATCAGCAAACAGCACAAAGTTTCAAAAGGAAGTTTAAAATAATAAAGTGAACACTTTCCAGAAGGTAATAAATACAATCTAAAATATTTAAGATAAAAAAAATATTTAATTGAATAATGAAGATAAACAGATTTCAGAAACCCATTTAATTTGGCATTCCAACATAGTTCCCACCAAATTTCCCAGCGTATAAGGGGATAAATTACGAGTGTTTCTAATGGCTAAGGAACCCTATAATTCCTGTCTAATAAAGCATACTGAGACTGCTAAGCCAGGTCTAAGACATGCTGTGACACTCGAGCTTCACGGAGGCCAGACATCAGACGCCTGAAGGCTACATACAGCCACTACTTACCATTCTTGCGTTCGTTGAGGGTTGGCAGGTTCTGGGTGGACTGCAGCGACAGTTCCTCCAGCTCGTGGGTCACTGTCTCACTCTGTGGACTGGGAACCAGCAGCCCCAGCATCCTTGCATCACCCTCTATATCCAGCAGCCCCTGAGGCTCCATTTCTCCTGCGGGAAGGAGTCAGGGGTCTACCAGCAAGAACTGAGCCTCGGACCCTCAGTGCTTCCCACGTACTACCTGGCAATCAAAGAGAATTTATTTAGGTTCAGTGCATATCCATAGTGAATATAGCCTGAGTATCCTATGAACTAGATGGCCTGATTTACAGTATCACTGTGTAGTATAAACTAGGGTGACCAGATAATCCATGTCAGGGAGGACACTCTGAGCTAGGACAGGAATTGTAAACTACCAATTCAATTAAACGGACCTGGATTTCACTTGAGCACTCAGTTCTTGCTGTGTGCTGATTGGTCAGTCTCCTATAATCATGCATGTGTCACTAATGCTAATGTGAAACAGCTGGATGAGTCTTTCAGTCAAGGAAACAAACCAGTCAAANCTTTTGAACGGCTCTTTGAAAGGAACGGATCGCCAAGATCCGGATCCCCTCAAAGAGCCATAAATCCCATCACTAATGGCTATGCCGTTGTTGTGTCGAAGTTCGATCCCCCATCGAGATGAGTTTTCTTAGGCCCACCCCCGTGAAAACGGCGCAGGGAGCGCGCATTCAGAGCAAGACTCGCCCGCGAGAGGTTATGCGCGTACCACCGAGCTTCAACAGAGCGCGGTAAAGCCCAAATTTGACACTGTTACCGTTTTTAATCCCTGGAATGGAAGAAAAGAAATGGAATTTCACGCGCTTATTTATTATAATTTAACTGCTTATTAAAGGAAACATATTAAAGGAAACAGCACAGTGGTACATGTTTTATAAAATATAAAATATCCTATCAGAAGTACCAAATAAAATGATTCAATTTGTAAAAAGTCATAAATTAACCATGGGTTGTGTATAGAGTGATGTAAAAAAAATCAAAAAAACAATACAACGCATATAATGATGTTTAGCTTTTTAAAGCGAGTTCACACAGGGGTGGGGCTAAGAAAACTCATCTCGATGGGGGAACCAACTTTGACACAACACTGTTTCCAGTTCATTGATGAGTTGATGTACTACCAATAATAATCACTAAACACAAACGGATATTGTTGCACAGCATATTACTTTAAACTGGAAGTGAAATGTACTCATCTTTTTTTTAATAGGTGCAATGAAATGGAGCTGTAAAGTCTGCAGGTATAACGCAACGACTTGGGGTGACCTGTTACATTACAGACTACACCATTGGTCAGCTAGAACCTCAGTTGAGTGTCTCCATTT